AGCTAATTCTTTTTTTATTAGAAGGCGCAATACTAGGCGCTTCTATCGAATAATAGATTATGTAAGCGTATCTCTGCTAGTTAAGAAGCTATAAGCCAAAACGTAAAAAAGCATACCCTACCCATCCGCCAGCCTAGACTAGCGGATGGGTAAGGTAGGGTTGGGCAGTAGACTGGCCGCTGGCGGATGAGTACCCCTTACCTAGGGTAGGGTATAGGTTGGGTATAGGTCGCATGAACCAAGGTGTAGGTAGGGCAGGGTTGCACAGACTATAGGTATAAGTAAGGTAGGGTTACTAAGCCCTAGGTATAGGTAGGGTAGCTAATTACCTAAGTACTTTACTTAGTGTTTATTCTGTTGCAGAGTTTTTAACTAATTATCATAGTAACGTACCTCACAAGCGAGCTGATCTGTAACGGTCTAGACTCTAAAGCTAAAGAAGAGCTAGAGCTAGCCGGTTACATTAGCTTAGCCGGCTTGGCTAAAGCTGGATATATATTATCTACGCAGTTGACTAGACGTCTAGTTAACTTGTGCATGCTTTTTAGCAAAAGTGGTTAGGAAGTAGATATCCTTTATTGGCCTTTGGCCAGACTACTACATGATCACCCAAGCGAGCTGATCACTTTTGCTAAGACCACACTAACACTGTACCTACTTTGCAACATTACAGCACATAACAATAATATATCACACTATATAGTATATTAAACTAATCTACAGTACTCTGCACATCTTTACTGCATGTTTGCGCGTTGTGCCCTGTCTTGCTACATGTGCTACAGCGCCTAAAAGACTAAATGCTCCTATTGACACGTAACCTCTTCTTTACTTTCTTCCTATTACTACAGGCCTTAAACTCCTTTAGAGTTGTTAGCTACACTCCCTTAGCAAATATTAGTGTCCCTTATTGCTATAATTACTTTCTTTTATATAATTTATAACTGTCAGATGCTCGTACTGTGAGCCAGAGTATGTGCTTAACGAGATCTTAGGTGGTATGATGATATTAATGATCGTGGCGATCGTGTTGCCGTCAGCGTCGTGCTGGTTGCTACAGGATTGAAGTGGGGGGGGGAATTAGCGCTGTTCGCGGCCGCCGGTGTGCGGGCCAATCAGGAGTTGCCAGGTCTCGCTTAATCGACCTAGCAACTGCTAATTGGCTGCACAACAGGTCCCTGCTCAATTGCGCAGATCTAACCTCTTGCTACTTACTCTTATCTAACACACCCCCTTCAGCTTAGAAACTCTTTAAGCTAACTATTTATGCATGTGCAAGGTCCTTAATTTATTCTTAAATCCTGTCTAGAGGCACGCTGTTTAGCACTTCTGTTAACTCCCTGTTCACTAGACTAAGTTACTAGAGGAAACCTTCCTACTTATTTACTAGGAGTACCTTTGTAAGTCTGTCTGCTATTATGCTTGCAGACTAGACGTGTTCTATAATAATCTTTCTAGCGGCTACCTCCTATTAGAGCTAGTAGTTGTAGATATCTATATGCTGAAGTTTAGTATGTAGTTACTGTAAAGTTATAAGACTTTGTTCTTATAATCTTTCTCTAGCGTATTTCCCTCCTAGGTATAGCGCTATGCTTACCTAAGCATTGCTATTGTAATCTCTAAGAAGAGAGGATTAGAATGGTGTGCTTACAAAGCCTGTATCTCCTCTCGTTCTTAAGATATGCTGTTCTCTATTTTTAGTAACTAGAAATGTTCTAGACCCTCTGCTTACAAATAGAGTAGCCTACTCTGTAAGATGCTGACGTATACAATTACGCATACACCTACGTAATCTTGCTTGCATATGTAGCAATACTAAGCATAGATAAAGTAGACCTACCTAGAGGAGTCTAGAACGTTCTGCTTAGAAATACAGACAGAGGAGAGGAAGCATAAATACCTATAGCTCTCCCCCCTCTGTTCGCTCTGTACCTAGCCTAGGAATCTCTACCTAGTATCTAATATAATAACTTGTCTATTATATTACAAAACCGTACCTTACCTCTATTAGGCTATACACTTCCTATTTAGACAAAGCTAGTCTAGATTTGTCTAGGTCCTTCTAGACTAGGAAGAAAGTAGTCTAGTCCTTCCCCTACTTTCTTTACAGTTACAACACTTCCTTAGTAACTAGTTAAATTATTTGTTTATTATTATATTATATTGTGATAGTGTGTGTGCCTATATTAATATGTAGTTTGCGTAAGAGCCTTAAGATAAAGAGTGCTTCTTTTGCAACCTATGTAAGAGCAAGAAGCTTAGCCTTAGTTATTAATGTTATTACTATATCCTGCTTGTTTGCTTTCTATGCAATAAGGCTGCTAAAGAGTTTAATTGCGTAGCCTTAGGAGCTCTTTCTGTCTATAGTGTTGTCAGCGAAGGACGCGTCACTTGCTACCTAGAGGCTAATGCCTCCTCTAAGCTGCAGTGATCGCTGTTTAGTGTTGAGTAGATATAGAAGGACCTGGTCCGCAGCATCTTGGTGGCTGATGCCTGGATTGGTGAGGAACTGGGCAAGCCTTAATGTGGCGAACGCAATGTCAGGTCGCGTGGTGACTGCAGCAAACAGCAGTGATCTAATTTTGCGCTAATACTTGTTAATTTCTGCTAGCGCTGCTAGTCTGCTCCTTAGCTGTAGTTTAGTTGTACCTATTAGAGTGTTATGTTGTATAGTTGTGTTCTTAGCAAGGTGACTAATTTTGTCTAAGTACACTGCCTAAGATAGGTAGATTTTCTTGCTTGCTTAGTCTTATATAATCTCTATACTAAGGAACTACTATAGGTTGTGCCCTCCTGTGCAGGTATACTTACTCTGTACGTAGCTAATTGTCTATATTACCTCTTACTCTTTTAATTTATTATATATAAGGATAATATTATTAATATAAAAGAAGATAATAATACTACCCTTAGTTAGATAGCAGGGTTTGTGAGGCATAGTCTAGAAACCTAGTGCTTTTAGTGTTGTAGTAAAGTTCTTCTGCTAGAGGAGGGGAGAGATGCGCAGGCTGTAAAGTGCCTTATTTACTTGCAGCATTGTGCTAGGCTTCTAATAGCCTTAGGGCATCCTTATGTAGACCTCTCTGTCCATTGTAGCATGAACAAAAGCGTTAGTAATGTTGTATTGTTTAAGCTCTATGTTATAGTAAGCTGCTATAGCCATTATTGTTTGAAAGGATTGGCTGGCAAGTGTGGCTGCATAGGTGTCTTATAATGTAATATTGCGTTATTAATTGCCTCTAACTACTAGTTGCGCCTTGCACTTTAGTAGTTAATAATGTCTATTAAGCTTATAGGTATATACCTATATACAGTTAAGGATCTATTATTCTATTAGTCTAATTTTCTAAAGTAGTGCTTCTAACTATAATTTTATTTCTTAGTAGCTTGTAAGGTGCTCTTACTTAGCTTCTTAAAAGAGTTTACCTATAGGGTAATCCTTAAGCTTAGTTTAGAATGTAGGTAGAGGTAGAAGTTAACTTTAATAGGGCTTTAAGCCTTTAGCAAGCATTCTTATTATCTTAGCCTTGTCTATAACTTCTCCTCTATATATTCTAACATGTCTAGCTTAGGTTCCTGCAAGGAATAATTCTGCCTATAGGATAGTAGTTAAGGACGCTTGTTGCGTTAGAGTTGTTTAATTACTAGCTATAATGCCTGCAAGTAGTGCTGCAGGTAGCAGTGTTAATAGAGGGGTAGGATAGCTATCCTGTATCTTCTGTCTGTAATAGTAGCCTAGTAGGTCTGCTTTGTCTTGTAGTAATAGCTCTACTAGGGCTTTATCCTTATAAAAGGAATCTATTTCTAGTTACTAGGTAGGTGTTAGTAGCTTAATAGATTATATATGTATTGCTATTTCTTTAAGTATATTATATATAAGGTTCTCTATAAGGTCCTTAATTCTCCTATTAAATACTATATCTTTATTAAATATAATATCTTAAGTGCTTATTACCTTGCTAAGTAATAGTATCTAGATTTAATAGATATTTAATAACTAGTAGCCTACTAGATAGCTAATCTAGGCCTTTAGGTCTAGTTATTAAAGACATAATTTGCTTCTATGTATATTATCTATTATAGCAAACACTTTGCACCTGTATACTCTTAGGTGCATAAGATTAGGTTTTTGTAGTAATATTACTATTCTATTACTAAAGGCAACTTGTGTAAAGAATATTTTGTATAGTGTTTTCTAATAGTTTATATAGTTTGGCGTTTAATTGTAGAGGTATACTGCCGCCCTCGTGATTTCTGGCCACAGTTCCCAGGAGAGGTTGTGTCAGATAAGAGCGAGCGGCGAGAGGTCGGATCTGCGCAATC